AAGAGAAGTTGGCAGCCTCCCCTGGGCCAGGTGGAAAGCATCGGACGGGGCAGCGGGTCGTTCCCGCTCGCAGCAGCGGGCGGTCTCTGGGGTAGGTGCTGATGCAGCATCACCTTTCTCGCGCTTGCTTTCTGGACGGCTCGCTGCGCCTCCCGGCACATTCTCTGCCCTGGTGACGGTGGGTGTGCCTGACCTACTGCAGCTGTGCCTGGAGTGGGGGAATGCCGTTGCCTCGACAGTGTGACAAGTCTGAGGGGACGAGAGGCAGCCCTTGACATGAACAGGGTCTAAGTCTGCCAAGTTGCGCGCAGCAAGGAGGAAGGATACCCAGGTTGGCATCTTAGGGTTGCTGAGGCGAGGCGCGAAGGTGACGATGAGAATAGCGTGTAGACAAACTGGGCGAGCGGTATAGGCCGGGGTGGAGCCTTCCCAAGTTTACGTGAGGCAAGACCAGGAACCGTGAGGCTGAGTGGGAGGACGGGCTTGCTGGAGAGTGTCCTGGGAGAAAAGATGAGGGGGCCGACAGAGAGGCAGGTGTGAGGGGGTACAGGGTCGATGGGAGGGTGAGGTTGCCCTCTTCAGGGATCAATCAGCTCAGGGCCGGGAGGCTACTCGGCAGGGCCAGGCACCCATAAGAGAGGAGCCTCTGCATGCTATGGTATTTTACAGCTTGTCTTACATTACCATCATAGCACATATTGAGCACTTGGTTGTGTGGTCTCCTGCTGACCTGGGGCCAAATGGTCATGGGCCAGTCCAAAGGGAGCAACAGTCCTGTGGGCTCTCACTCAAGGCGGGCCTCCGGGAGGAGTCTGAGGATGTAAGAGTGTTTTTAAAACGTGCTCCATTTTCATTTCCCAAACTGACACACTGGATTCGGAAGAGGGAAAAACACCCACTATTACCATAACTGGACTTCTTTCTGAAACTAACTCATCAAGAAGTTTTTGGTTTTGGTTTTAAGAAAAAAGGAACTGAAATGTTGGAAACAGCCCAAAAGGGAAACGAACGCCAGACTTTCACATTGTGAACTAAAGTAAAATTTTAAGGCTCACCGCCCCCCACCCCCACTGGCTTACCTTTAAAGGGACCCCTCGTGGCCAAAAGAATATCACGAAACTAAATTGTCTACCAAGAGGAAGGAGGTCAGACGCGCCTTGTGCCCCCTCCCTTCTAGGGGACATCCTTTGTAACCCATTAATAGGCCTAAGGGTATGCAAGACAAACCTGCAGGCCCTCAATTTACACAACAAATGTATGTTGGGTGGTTTATGTCTGATAGCAGCTCCTAATGTTGAAACATTCCAAGCCTTTAGACAAAGCTTCTTGTCTTTAACCAATTACAAGCCAAAGAATCTTTAAATCCACCTTTAACCTGTAAGCCCCAGCATCGAGGTGGCCCACCTTTTCGGGCCAAACCAATGTATGCCCTGTCTCCCTGAAATGTATAAAACCAAACTGTAACCCAGTCACATCGAGTACACTTGCTCAAGGCCTCTTGGGAGTGGCTCTGTGTCATGGTCCTCAAATTTGGCTCAGAATAAATCTGTTTAAAATTATTTTACACAGTTTGGCTTTTTTCCGTTGACAACATCCATCTCGTCTGAACCCCCAAGCTCCGGGAAGAAAGGCGAGGCAGCTGGAGCCAGTGCAGCTCCTCAAGCCCCTGTCCCACGAGCAGGTGCGTTTCGGAATGCAGATTGGCTGGGATTTTAGAAAGAGAACCGGAGAGCACACACCTGCCAGAGGTTACATAACCTCCCGCAAGGGCTCGATCTGCACCCTGCGATCAAGCTTATTTGCATTTTTGCGGCAAAATATGAATATTCACACCAAGTGTGATAAAGACCATCAACATCCTCATATCGGTTCCTGTGAAATTTTGTCACGGGTGAATTACAAAAGATCTTTGGGCTCCCGGGGAGCTTTGGCACTTGGGAATTGCAGATAAGGGATTGTGAGCCAGTACCACTCTCGTTTTGGGTTTGGGGAAAGTGAGCTCGTCTGAGGGACTGCTGGCTTTTCGCGTCTTGCTCGTGCCTCCATGTGTCCGCACTTCG